ATGCTTTAACCACTGCACCACCAGAGTTCCTTAGGATTAGATGCTTGTTGTTGTTGTTGTTGTTATGTGCCGTTGAGTCAGCCCCAACTCATAGCGACCCCTCCTTGGGTTTCCGAGGCAGTATCACTACGGAAGTAGGATTGCCCAACCTTCCTTCCGAGGAGTGGCTGGTGGGTTTGAACCGCCAGCCTTCTGGTTAGCAGTCAAGTGCTTTAGCCACTATGCTACCAGAGCTCCTAGGATTAGATGCAGGTTATGCATTTTTGGCAGGAACACCACAGAAGTGATGCTGTGTCCTCAGTGCTTTACATTAGGAGGCACGTGATGTCGGTTCACCCCTTTAATGGTGATGTTAACTTCTACCACCCGGTTAACAGAGCTGGTGGTGGTTGCTAGTTCTCTCCCTTTGTAATAAATCAGTAATCTTGAGGAAGATACTTTGAGACGAAATAAATATCCATTGTTCCTCATCAAGGAGTCCCTGGGTGACACAGTTAAGTGCTTGAGTGCTAACCTAAAGGTCAGAAGTTCAAACCCACCCAGACGCACCTCAGAAGACAGGCCTGTGACCTGCTTGGGAAAGGTCACAGCTCTGAGAGCCTTAGAGAGCAGCTCTGCGTTAACACACGCAGAGTCATCAGAGTAGGGTTGATGGCAACGGATTTCTTCAGCCTTTCAGTCATCAGCCTTTCATTCAGCGGCCTAAGCCTCCACCGATGGCTCTTTCTGGGATCACAGTCCAAGAGCATCACAAACTCTAAGAGGCATGAGCTTCTTTGGACTCAGGAAAGGAGTGAGCTTAGGGAACCTATACAAGGCCGTGGTGGCCAGAGCCATCTAGCTGGGGTGGGCCTGCAGAGTATCATGATTCCATAAAAACTAAGGGAAACAATTTATGCCTTAGTCTCATAAATATGTATGCAAGGCCTACTGTATGCCAGGCACTGTTCTAGGTCCTGAGGCGCAGCCGTGGACAGAGAAAACAGACCTAATCCTGGCCCTCGTGGACAGACACTGACATGGAGGGATTCAGGCTACAAACAAAAGACATTCATGGTACAGTGCTCGCTTTGGCTGCACAGATATGAAAATAGGAACTATACAGAGATTAGCATGGCCCCTGCACAAGGATGACACGCAAAGTCATAAAGAGTGCCACATTTTTCTGTAAACTTTCACCCAAGTCACCATAAAAATAAAAAAGACATGCATAGTATGTCTTATAGTGAGAAATGATATGAAAAAACAAGATGAAGGTTAAGGAGATAGTAACAGGGTCTCTCTTTTGGGTAAAACAATGCTGCCCCCTCCTCCTTCTCATCTACCCTCCCCTGGTCTCCCTACCTCCTCTTCATCTGCCAGAATCTTGCTGAGCCAAGTGTACTCACACATGCCATCTGCTCTCTTCATGAGTGGGACCTATGCCAACTCTAGCATCTGGGCTCTTGGCCTGAAGCCTTGGAGCAAGGAAACCCCACTCTGGGCTCACCTCGGGGCTGGGGAATCCTCTAGTCTGGCTAAGGGCATCTGGGAGGAGGAAGCCAGTGCAAGCCCAGTGGGCTCCCTGGAGGAGGTGGAGGCCTGAAGAGCTGTGGGGGTCTTCTGATTTTTTAAAGAAAGTTTTTATTGTGATTTGGGTGAAAGTTTACAGAGCAAATTCATTTTCCATATAGCGGTTCATACACATTTTGTTTCATGACATTGACTGCACTTCCCCACTTCCTCCCTGTAGTCCCCTCTTCCCTATGTCTTCTTTCCTGTGCCCCTGAGCTGTCTCCCTGTGCAAATACTCCCCTTCTGTTCTCCCATGAGTTGATCAATCATTCTAAGGAGTGTATCTAACTCACTGCAGTGGAGCTGAGTCTACTCATAGCGACCCCTCCTTGGGTTTCCGAGGTGGTATTTCTATGGAAATAGATTGCCCTGTCTTCTCTCCGAGGAGTGGCTAGTGGGTTTCAACTGCCAGCCTTCTGATTAACAGTCAAATGCCTTAGGCACTATGCCACCAGAGCTCCCAGGAGTGTATCTACCTGATGTAAATGTTCACTCTATTTGCCTATCTGTTGTTTGGTTGGAAGCCGTAAGAGCGAGTTCCATTCCAGACCTGAAGGGTAACTAGGCGGCATAGTTTCAGGGGTCTCACCACGTCCCATCAGACTAGTAACCCTTTTCTTTTTTTTTTTTTATGATTTTGAGTTTTGTTCCACATTGTTCTCCCACTCTAACCAGGATCTCCTGCACTTATCCCTTTCTGAGTTTAACCACTCGGAATTATGGAAGGCCTACTTCATGCCAGTGGTAGCTGGGATCATCTAGTTCTTCTGGTCTGGTGAGGGTCTTCTAATCAGACTATCAGATTGGTGAAAATGGATGTAAATAAAAACATTGATATATACCATCCCACATATTCAGAGCATCTATTCTGCGCCAAGCTTTGGCTTCATGTTGGACTTTTATTATCGCACTTAATCAAAGTGCTTTAGGTATTGTTATCACATCTAAGAGGCAGGGAACATTTCACCCTCTTCACAGGTGAAAAAACTGAGGATCATCACTTATACAAAAGACAAGAACAGGCAAATGTATAGAGACCAGAGTTTCTTAGTGGTTACCAGGGATGGGGGAGGGAGGGAAAAATGGGTATTAACAGAGATGGGGAAATTACATTAGCTGATTAATGTAATTGCCTCCAATAAGTTGTACACCTGTAAAACGCTGAATTGGCAAAAGTTATGGGTAGATACATTTATAACTATGACAAACGTAAAAGAGTAGCTGCGGAGGCAGCTTACCTGGAACCAAACAGCTTGTGGGATTTAGTTCCTTGGTCTGGAGGTTTCAGGTCATGGTTTTGTGGGACATCCCATGAATTGGCCTAATAACACGTTCAGTGCTGCTTCCTGGTCCGTTTGCTAGTTGCCTGGGGTCTTAGAAGCTTGCAAACTTCAGCCTCAGCTTCCTACCCTCCCCTTGAGATGGGCTGGGGTTACAATCTGCCCCTCCTCTTCCCAATCTCTGTTAACAAGTGCTTTTCCCCTCCCTCCCACCCCTGGTAACCACTAAGAAACTCTGGTCTTTTTATATAAGTGATGATGCTCAGTTTTTTCATCTGTGAAATGGATGAAATGTTCCCTGCCTCTTAGATGTGATAACAATACCTAAAACACTTAGGAGTATTCACCTTGGCCAGGTAAATACTCCTCTCTGAGCCTCAATTTCCTTACCTGCAAAATGAGGATGAAATAAAGCTACAGAGAGAAAGAAACGCAGCGATGAACTTAAAACATTCAATACAGGGCTGGGCATTGTCGTCACTGAGGGAGAGAGGTGAGAGGTGTGACTTTAGGCAAATTACCTAATCTTCCTGTGCCTGTTTGCTCCTGTGTAAAACGGGGACAATAAACCATAGGGTCTCTTGGGGTTGCTCCCAGGAATATATGTGTAAGTGTACGTATAATGCACTTAGAACAGCGCACACAGTTACAAGTGGGGGTGTTCTTATCCGGCAACAGGGAGGGAAGGGGAGGCGGGGCCAGGACCTGAAGGCCCTGGAGAATCCGGGGCGCCCCTACGCCCTACAAGTAGCTTTTGTGCTGGGGCTGTGGGGGAAGGGGCTGCTAAGCAAGCTTGGGTTCTCAGGAATCCCCGCGGGTCCTTACACACCGAGGATCACAGGGGCCTGCACCTGGGCGCTGACGTCGGCGTTCAAGGCTCCCTCCCCGCCACCGCGGAGGGGCGGAGCCCAGGAAGCCGCCGCCCCGCCCCCATCCCGCCCACGCGCGCTGCGGGCCCGGGGCGATGAGAGGGGCGCGGAGCCGAGCGCGCGAGCCAGCTTCCCTTAGGCTCGGCCCCCGCGAGCACCCCTAGCTCACTGAGCCTTCTCACTTCCTGGGCGGCGGGATTCGGGGGGTGGCTCCCGGTGCTGGGGTGCCCAGGAGGTCCCGGCGTGCAGCTGGAGACGGTGAGTGACGGGCGGAGGTGGGGGACGCCGTCCCTCCCACCGGTGTTGGCGTTAGGAATCGGGAGCCAAACCCTGGGCGAGGAAATCGGCTCAGGTTTAGAGTGACAGAGCTCGGGGACCCCCAGGAGAATTGTGGAGCACGAGGACTCTTCTCTGTGGTTGTGCTGAGTGTGTGTGTGTGTTTGTGTGAGTGTGAGGTCAAGGATGTTATAGGGGGAGATGTGCAGAGAGAATTTGGGTTAAACCAGGAGGTGTTGGGGGAGCTGGTGAGTGTGCAGGGAGTTGTGGGGACATAGGCGTGGGAGGGCTGGTGTGGACCGGGGTGTGCTTGGAGCAGGTGTCCAAAGGAAGTAGTGACGGGCACAGGGGAGAGATGTGTGGAGAGCCTGCACACGTGTGGTGGGAGGGTGCTGTCATGTGGGGATTAGGCGTGTACAGGTTGTCATTTGGGATTAAGGTGTGTGAAGACTGTGGGCCTGGGAAGGGTGTTTTCTGGGAGCTGATGTTGTTTGGGGCAGATGTGCAAGGAGTCTTTGGGAGATGGTTGTATAGAAGAGGGCGTTGGGCTCACCTGGACTGGTATGTGTGGCAGGGGCCTTGGGTATAAGTATGTGCTGGAGGCAGGGACCTGCAGGGGCATGGTGGTGGTGGTGGGGGGTGTTACTAGAATGAAGTGCAAGGGGTGCTTGGGGTAATGATTGTGTATGGGCCTGGGAGAGGAGTATGGGACCAGATGGGTGGTGAGGGGTGTGTGAACCCAAGATGGGTTTATGAGTAAGGTTTATGGAGCAAGAAACTATGCAAACTGGAATAAGTGTGCTGATGCTTGGGCCAGTCTCTTTCATACTCTGGGTCTCAGTTTTCCTTTCTGTAAAATGGGTATGAGGGTCATTGAATTAACCAGTCTTTTGCCATCATCCTCTCCAGAGACTGGCCTGGGGGTGGGGTCAGAGGAAGGGTGAAGGTGAGACCTTGTACAACTTATCTTTCTCCCCCCCCCCCCCCCACAGGACACTGATCCCAGAGCCTTCCCCCTGCCATGGACAGCCCCAGTCTTCATGAACTCCAGCAACCTCTCCTCGTGGGTGCAGGCTGTGAGCCCCCTGCCCAGAAGCCTAGCGAGCCTGAACTGGGGCCCCCCTTGACGGAAACAGCCTTTGCAGAGTGTCTGAGGGGTTGGCAGTCCCCACGACCACCTCTTCCCTCTGTGAGCGCTGGCCTGGGGGAACTGGGCCACCTCGACCTTGAGGTAGGAGCAGCAGGCCTTAGAGGGAACTCAGGGAGGGGGCTGTGGGTGAACCCAGCTATGGCTAACATCTGGTGGGCTGGGCAGCTTGGGCCTGGAGTTTCATTTCTCAACTGTATGTGGGCTTCCTAAATTTCTGGTTATGGTCCTTGTGTTTCCCGTTTCTCTACCTTTATATCTCCAGATTCGTCTCTTGTCTTTGTCTCCTGGCCTCTGGCTCTCTGTGTATCTTCTCTGTGTTCTCTCACTCCCGTTTCTCATCTGCCGGTCTCTTTCCAGAGCTATGCACCTCTGGCCTCTGTCGGCCTCTTTTCATCCAAGTGAATGTCACTTTTTAAAATTTCTTATTTCTCATATATATTTCTAAGCTTGTCTTTCATTTCTTAAACACGATTTGCCAGTTATTATTACTGCATGACAAATCACCCCAAAACTCAGTAGCTTAAAATAACAGCACTCATTATTGTTTTCTGTGGGTCAGGGATTTGGGGGAGGACTCGGGCGGTTTTGCCTCAGGATTTTTCATGCAGGTTTAGTCAGCTGGAGAGAAACAGTGTGGGACTGAAGCAGCGAGGGGCTGGCTGCATCTCTCCCTCTCTTCGTGTAATCTTAGGACTTCTGCGTGTGGTCTCTCTGTGTGGGCCAAGTTGGGCTTCCTTACAAGATGGCGGCTTCTGGGCAGTCAGGCTACTTACACGGCTCCAGCACGAGTGATTCCGCAAAGCAGAAGCTGCCTCATCTTTTTCTCATTTGGTCTTGGAAGTCAAACAACATCACTTCTACCACATTCTATTAATGACAGCAAGTGAAGGGACATAGATAGACCCCATCCTGTCAGAGTCACACTGTAAGAAGAGCATGTAGGATGGGAGAGATTGCTGTGGTCATTTTTGGAAAATACAGTCTGCCACACATAATAAGCATCATTTTTACATGCTGTCTGATAATTCCAGTGTCTGAACACTTTGAGGGTCACCTTATTTCTGCAGGTTCTCACTCTTGGTTCTTAGGTGTGCCTGGCTATCTTTGACTGTCTGCTGGTCATTGTGTTTGAAAAATGATTTTTAAGAGTAATTTGAGGCCCAGAATGACGCTGCCGTCCTCCAGAGAGGATTTGGTTTGCTTCTCCCAGCTGCCTAGGGGCACACCCAGTTAGAGATCATTTTTAATCTCCTTCAAGGTTGGAATGAAAGTTTAAATTTTCTGGATTGGCAAATGCCTGCAGGGCAAAAGGATCTTCCTATGCTCATACAACCTTTTTCTTAATGATTTTCACTTTAGTTTCAGCTTTACAGTAATTCCTTACAATCTTGTGAACTCTTTGATGCTTCTAAGATTAAAAAAACATACATTTTATCTAAAATCTGTTGCTGTTTTCAGCAGGCAGGTTGGTCCAGTAACATGGGCGACCACTAGCAGATACCGAGTAGCTTTCCTAGTCTCCATCGTTTTTATTTTCTTAACTTTTTTAAAAAAATTGCAATCTGGGTAAAAGGTTACAGAGCAAATTGCAGTACTCAACAGCTCATACACACTTTGTTTCATGGCATTGATTGCAGTCTTCACAGTGTAACAGCCCTCTTACCACTTATTCCCTGTGGGTACCATTTCCCATTGTTCCCATTGTTCTTCTTTCCCATCCTTTCCTGCCTTCTGAGCTTTATCCTTGGACAAATGCCACCCTGTGGATTGAGTGTGGTTGACTGTTCTGAGGAGTGTGTACCTCCCTGGTGTCATCGTTCATGGTTTGGCTGAAAATTAAGCCACAGGAGTGAATTCAGTTCCAGGCTGGCAGGGTGTCTAAGAGCCATAGTCTTGGGGGTTCCCCCAGTCTCTGTCAGATCAGTAAACCTGGTCTTTTTTTTTTTTTAATGATTTTGAGTTTTGTTCCACATTTTTGTCCCACTCCATCCGGGACCTCCTCTTGTGATCCCTTTCAGAGTGGTTGGCAGGGGTAGCCGGGTACCATCTAGTTTGTGTCAGGGTTGTGGGAGCTGGGGTTCACTAATAGTTCCTTTCATCTTTGATTTTACTCACTCTTCTTTGCCCTGGACAGGGAGAGGCCAATTGTTACAGATTCAATGGCGGCTTGCTAGCTTTTAAGACCCCACTTGCTACTCACCAAAATAGGATGTAGAACATTGTCTTTGTGGGTTATGTGATGCCGGTTGACCTCAGTGTCCCCCATGTGGATTATGTGATGCTGGTTGACCTCATGTCCCCCCTCAGTGTCTCCATCTTTTTGCAAGTTCTGTCCCCATGGCATCTGTCTCCACTTCAGGGGTTTTTAACTCAGTTTATAAGTAATCATGGTGTCTGTGATTGGGCCTGGGAACTAAACCCTCTGGATTTGGATGGGGTTTTTCTCTGGAGACACAGTCCCCAGCTTCCCCTCAAAGGGATCCGAGATGCGAAACCATCAGGAGCATTTTCTCTCTCTGTGCTCTTTGGGGCCCTGGTGTTGGCCTTTGGGGGCATGGGGAGCGGAGCAGCAGGCAGGGTGCGTGGAGACGCCCACTTCGGCCCTCCCTGCCCACAGGACACATCGTCCAGTGACAGTGATTCGGACTGGGATGGGGGTGGCCGTCTCTCCCCGCTTCTACCCCACGACCACCTTGGCTTGGCGGTCTTCTCCATGCTCTGCTGCTTCTGGCCTGTGGGCATTGCTGCGTTCTGCCTGGCCCAGAAGGTCAGTCTCCGTGCGTGTGCACGTATGTTAAGGGGTGCTCCTGTATGTACAGGAATGTGTACTTTTATGGGGTCTGCGTGTGTATGTGTGTGTATTGCATTATGTCTCTGAGTGCATGTTTGTAGTATGTGGGTCTGTGTGTGTGTATTGTGTAGTGTTTCTGTATTTATGTGCCTGTGAGTATTGAGTGGTGTCTCTGTGTGTGTATATTATGTGGTGTATGGTCTCTGCATGTGTGTCTATAGTGTGGGATCTCTGTGTATAACGTGTGACTCTCTGTGTATAACGTGCCATCTCTGCGTGTGTATTGTGTGGTGTCTGACTATGTCTGTGCATGCATGTGTATTGTATGATGTTTATGTGTGTGCACTGTGTGGTGACTTTGTACATGCATGCGTGTGTACATCTGTATGTGTGTGTGTGTTGACAGGCATCATTCTTTCATTCAGCAGATATTTCTGAAACACCTACTGTGGGCCAGGCACTGTGCTGGGTTCTCAGGCATTAATACAGACAACAAAACCACAGTTGATGTTAAGTAACAATGGATTTACTGTTGATTCAACTAATATTTTCCAAGTGCCTACTATGTGATAGGCCCCATTCTTGGTACTGGAAATACCGCAGTGAACCAAACAAAGAACTTTGCTTACATGGAAGTGACATTCCAGTTGAGGAGACCAACAATAAACAAGATAAAAAAAGTCAGTATAAAGCAAGCACTGTGTTGAGGAGGATAATCAAGCGTGGAGCGTGACAGGAAGTGTGGGTGGCAGTGTGTGTAAAGTATTACATGAAGTGGCCTGAGCAGGCCTCAGATGATGATATTGGAAGGGATGAACTGAGCCGTGTAGATATCTCAAAGAGGAGTATTCCTGACAGAGGGACTAGCCAGGGTGAGGGCCTCAAGGCAGGAGTGTGTGGTATGTGTCCTAGGAGCAAGGAGGAGACTACTGAGTTGCGGAGGGAGGGGCAGGTGGCAAGAGGTGATCAGAAAGGGAACAGGTCTGGTCATGCAGGGCCCCCTGGGCCATTGTAAGGACTTTGGCTTCTACTCGGAGACAGGAGTCACATGAGGGCCATGAGGAGAGACGGGAGCTGGCTTGGGATCTATCTGGGTGTCATGTGGTGAATAGGGAAGTCAGAGGAGAGGTGAGACCAGTAGGGGCTCAGGTGCTTGCAAGATCGCAGGAGGAGCTGAAGGAGCTGGGCCTTTTGGGACAACTCTCCGCAGAGCGCCTTGGAACCAGCCCACTTGGGGAACTGTTGCCTCTTAGGCTGTGCTTGTCTGAGGGACACTAGGAGGCTGGAGAAGGGCCACCCAAAACTGTGATGTAGGAGCGAGAATGCGAGCAAGAAGCTGAGGTTGTCACCCGTTTCTTGTTCCCCAGGAAGCTGAAGAAAGCACATTCTTACTAACCAGCAGCAATAGCTAGGTGCCTCTGACTCACTCGTCCTTCCAACTTTTAATTCATACTCTAGTTGCAAAGGCCTCTGGGAAATGTAGTTTTCAGCTCTCCTGCTTTTCCAAAGAGGAAGAGGAAATTAGAGTTGAGAGAACCAATCTAAGGATCTAACATACAGGAGACTAGAAATTAGCGTAGTCCTTGCTCTCCTGGAATTTATAGTCCTGGTGGGTTGCACAGATGTTACTCAGATCATCCTGTGAACATGAGTAAATCTGGTTAGACATACAAAGCAGAGGTGGGTAGTGCTAAAAAAGAAAAAAAATTGCAGTGGAGTCGATTCTGACTCATGGCAACCCCACTTGTGTCAGAGTACAACGGTGTCCCATAGGGTTTTCAAGGGCTGATCTTTTGGAAGTAGATTGCCAGGCCTTTTGTCCAAGGCTCCTCTGATGGACTCAAACTGTCAACCTTTAGGTTAGCAGCCAAGTGAGCTCTGGTAGTATAATGGTTAATGCACTTTGCTGCTAACCGAAAAGGTCTGGGGTTCAAACCCACCAACTGCTCCATGGGAGAAAGATGAGGCAGTCTTCTTTCATAAAGATTGACAGCCTTGGAGACCATATACGGGGAAGTTCTACTGTCCTGTAGAGGCGCAATGAATCAGAATCGAAGCAGTGGCAGTGAGTGGGTTTTATTGATCACTACTTGTTCTTGTTGTTATGTGCCGTCAAGTTGGACCCGATTCATAGCGACCCCTCCTTGGGTTTCTGAGGTGGTATCACTACAGAAGTAAATTGCCCAACCTTCCTTCCAAGGAATGGCTGGTGGATTTGAACTACCAGCCTTCTGGTTAGCAGTCAAGTGCCTTAGGCACTACGCCACCAGAGCTCTCTGTCTTTAGTTCCTCATTTAAGGTTTCCTCTGCTTCCCTCCACTACTAGCATGTGAGTGCCACGAGGGTAGGGCAGGGGTCATCTCCTGTTTATCACGGACTCCCTGGTGCCTGGCATACTGTAGGCACTCAAGTATTTGGGA